AATTATATCAATACTAGGTTGCAATAGCAACAATATTTTTGTTGTTTTTAAAATATTTATATTTATAAGAAGCATACAGCTTTGGTAGGACAAGCAATATAATATTTGTGAAGGAACAATAACAATTAACAATATATTTATGATACATTTAACTATATGTGTGGTTGTGCCTATATCAACTGTATTGTATTGTTGCATTATACATATTTCTGGTTGTGATAGCGAAAATTTCTCTGAGTGTTGTATCAGATAATGGCAGTCAATTCACTTGCAACGAATTTGAACAATTTTGTCAGCAGAATGTTATTGAATATGTTCGCAGAGCAGCAAATCGGTAACAGTCAAATAGTCAGGCAGAACGGTTTGTTGATACCTTTGAAAGGACGCTTTCAAAATTTGCAAGAGGGGGAAGTCATAGACAATCACAAGATATGAATATATGTTTTCAAGAGTATGCAGGTCCACTACATTTTCTCCCTAAATTCTCTAAGTCGGAATCTCGATGATGAGCATACGCATGCCAGGTAGAAGAATGAGATTTCCACTTGATATGTTACTTCCTACAAAAAATATTCATAGGTATTAGAAAAAAGTCAAACAAATTTGAAGAGGAGATTTAATTTATGCTAAAATTTAGAAAAATAATAAGTTTCATTGGATTCCTGGGAAAATCATAGAACCAATGGACACCTCTATTGTGAAAAAAAAATTAAACGAAAAAAAATATTTGTAAAAATTCAGGAACTTCTTATCTAAACAAAAAGAAATAAAACATAGAGGTACCGCACTGTACTGTCCGTACTCCACGGACAAGTGGGGTACAACATAGTATAGTATTCTATACAAATAATCACAATATATTAAGATCACACACTATTCAAATTTAAAGAAGATATTATGTTATAGGACCCAAAGTTATTCAATTCCATTATATTGTTCAATGGAAGAGTTCAATTTGGAAGAAAAAGTAGAGTAAAGTTCACACTAGAGTTTAGATCAAGAAGTTATCGTTGAAAACATATCAGGATACATAATATAAATTCAATTGATTTTACCAGCACTGAAGGTATAGCCGACCTAGTATTGTCCTGATTTTGTTAACGCTTAACACGTTCGTTGCGAAAATCAGATAGGATCTTTCCCAGGAGCTGCAATTGTCGCACATAGGTGACACAGCACTAGACTCTGAATTTAGATGTCCAGAGCGGATGTCTGCCTCAGAAAGAGAATCCGTTAGTTCAATACTCGTCTAACACACTGACAAAAATTCGTTCATTCTCCACCAGTGCTAAATTTTTACGGATTATACAAAGCAACGCATACACTTGTCGTACATAGGCGACCCGTGTATTAAGGTACGTACGCTCATGTCGCCAAAGACATGTCGCCTATGAGCGACATGCGCAGCGGAAGTGTTGATGAGATAATGCGAATACCTACTGTTATTTTTAATAAAGCTGGTTCTGAAATATTATTATTTATACCATCAAAAAGATGTCGCACTAGAAGAATTTTATTTTTAAAAGAGGGAGAAAAGTTAGGAAGCTGTACCACAGATAGGTACCTACCAGAGAAATACCTACTAAAATTGAATGTCATGTCATTATAATATGTGGTCATTGTCGGTCATCGTATTTTACTTTATCTTGAAACCTAACGTCACAGACGTAATTTTTTTGTCATTTCACCCATGCAACATAAAAAAGAACATAAAAAGAAATAAACGCCTAATATAACCGTCATAAAACCTCTCGTAAAATAACTTGAGCTAAATATTGTAGTTAGGAGACTCATCACAGGTGCTTTATATGAACTTTTTATGAGCCCCTAGAAAATAACTTAGAATCAAATTGAAATTTCTTGAGACTTACCGCGATCTTAATATTTCAATATTTCGATTTGAAAGAAGTAATTTGTTTTTTCGAGCCATCACTAAAAATTTTATGTATTATCAAATGTAACTGTTATGTCAGATGCTAAGAAGACTGTTTGAGTGTTTGTAAAGTTGATACAAGGTTTGGTAATGACACAGATTACTTACATACAGATGCGAAAGAGCTGCGAATTCGCGGTTCAAGATTAATTTGATAGACATAGGCTGGCCGCACCAATGCCACATCAATGTATTTTGAACATATTTATTATATAAATGCGGAAGCTCAATAATATAATATTATTTCTTTAATTGGTTCACAAACAGCAAAAAATAGCTATTTATGTACCAAGGGGATTATGTAGATTATAATGCCCGAAGGCGAAACTAGCCCGAGGGCCTATGGCCCGAGGGATATATTTCGCCTGAAGGGCATTATAATCTTGAAATCCCCGTGGTGCATACAATGCTTTATTTTCTACTCAACACAATATTTTTTCATCAATTTGTTATTAACAAAATCAGTTAAACTTGTGTGACAGAATATTGTTTTGTATTTTGACATGTACCTGTACCTGTGACCTGTACCTGTACCTGCGACCTGTACATAGAAACGAAATAAATTAATATATCTATAAACATCTCATAAGGCAAGGCAACGGTGGTGGTCCTGTGGGTTAACGCGCTGGACTACATGGGAAACATTGATGGTAGACCGGGTTCGAATCCTGGCTAGACCGAAAATTATTTTCGGTCAGACATTTAGTGGCTGCCTAGGGTAAAGTGCAAATTAATAGAACAACAACAACAAAAACACCTTAAGGTATTATAAGCGGGCGTTATAGATCATAACGCCCGCAAAAGCGGGCGTTATGGATCGGGTTGTTATAGGTGTGTTAACGTATTTCGTTTCCTAGGTAATATGGATCTATAATAGTAAAGTAGAAAATAAATATTTTTATATCCTACTGAACTATTAAAACCATATAATACCTTGGTTACGATAATCATAAACAGGGTCTTAACTCCCAAGGGAGTTAAGGATTTTCATAACTCCCAAGGGAGTTAAGGAAGGGAGTTAAGGATATCATAACTCCCAAGGGAGTTAAGGATTTCCATAACTCCCGCTTTTACCTTGAATAGGTAACACTTTGACAAAAAATAGAAATTTTGATTTATGGCTTATTCCTTTATAAAAATAGACAGAATACAGTAAATTCAGTAGGATATAAAATTATCTATGTACCACGGGAATTATCAGGAGTTAATACCCACGGGCAATTGGTGTCCCTCGGGCCGGAGGCCCTCGGGACACAAACGTTGCCCTGGGGTATTAACACCTGCATAATTCCCTTGATACATAAATAACTATTTTCTACCCGCAAAAATATGTAAACACACAGGCTGGAACATGCTCACGCACTTGGCCACGTTAATTGTCCTGACGCGGGCGATCTTTATCTATGCGTTGGAGCGCTGGCGGCTTGGCTTCGTCACAGAATATCGTCGACGACAAGTATACGTACTTTCGCATCTGTATTAGGTAATCTGTGGTAATGATGGGTAATATGTCGTATGCATAATATATTATTATTTTTGTCGTTCTAGAAAATTATTGAAAGGATCTCTCTCTATCTTTCCGTTCGATTCTGAATTTATTAATCTTCGCTCAAAGAGTATGGGTGTCCCAGCTAAAATGAAACAGAGGGGTTTTTGCATATTTAGAATTATTTAAATGAAAAACATTCGAACACGTCGATTTTTGCATGAAAGGGAGAACTTTCAGATTCATCTTAATTGACCTATCTGTCATCCCTTAGCGGGGGCGCGTTCAACCCCTAAAAATTAAATAGGGAAAATGGGTCGACTGACCCCTCAAATGAAAGCTCTTTAAATTCTCTTTTCAACGGTATCACATTTATTGACATTAATGTCAAAAAATTTGACAATGACGCGTCCCACCCAAAACGAAACAAAGTAATTTAAAGGCATTTCTCGTTTTAAAAGCAAAAAAACGGCTAACACGTGAAATTTGTGTTCGACTGGAAATTAATCTGCGAATATTTTTTAACCCTTAAGTTGAAACCCCACGCGGCGGTGACATCCACCCTTAAAGTCTCAAATGGAATGAGGGGATGAAAGGCACCTCATTTGTAAGCTTATTACTGCTTCTTTTCAACGCTGTCTCATTTGAGGAATATCTTTGAAATTTTCGTGGAAAATTATGAAAAAATAAAACTTCTCTAAAAAAATTCTATTAAAGACCTCTAATAAACAAAATAAATAACATCGAAGATAACAGAAAAAATGTAAACAAGTTTTTACTAATGTGGAGCTCTATTGATACTAAATTAATACTCTAGAACAACTAATTTACTAAATGTTCAAATTGAGCACCGTCTGCAGCCATGCAAGAATTCAGGTTCTGTTCGAAGCGATCTCAAACATTTTGTAATATTTCAGGTATTATCAGCGCGCACTCATCTACAATTCGTTAATTCGTTGACGTAATACTTCTAGTGTCTCCGGTTGAGTGGCATACATTTTTGTTTTCAGATGCCCCCATAAAAAAAAGTCAATGGGTGATAAATCTGGTGATCTAGCTTGCTATTCGAGAAAGGGTCCTCTTCTTCCAATCCAGCAACCGGGAAATATCTCATCAAGATAATGCCGTACCAGTGCAGCATAATGCGGAGGAGCTCCAACTTGTTGAAAAACGACTTGATTTTCGTCATAGTGATTTCCATTCTCGATTATCTCTGTTATTCTAGGATTTATGGCGTCTTCCAAAAAAGTCTGATACATTTCTCCATCTAAATTTCCATTTAGAAAAAACGAACCAACAAGGAAGTCGCCAAAGATTGCAGCCCACACATTTAATTTTTCAGGGTACTGAGTATGAACCTCACGCAAGTGCTTAGGATTTTCATCAGCTCAGTTGTGACGATTTACGGTTCCATTGAGGAAAAATGTACACTCATCCGAAAATCAAATGTTGTAAAGAAGAAGATGATTAACTATAAGCATTTCGCTTAGTTCTTCACAGAATTGAATTCATCTATCGTAATCGTCTTCGTTTAATTCTTGCGCCAGGTGAAGTTTGTATAAGGATAAAATTTGTGTAACTTTAAAATTCTGTGAACACTCTTTTACTTAGTCCTGTGGCTGATGCCAATTGTCTGACACTCATTCCTGGTCTGGCATGGAGTTGACCCAGAACTGCTACTTGCATAACTTCATTGTTAACTACAGCAGGTCGGACATGCTTCTTTCCAAGAACACTTCCAGTTTCTCTAAATCTTGCTACTAATTCTAGTACGTACTTTTTATTGACATGTTTATCTGGATGATGAACATTAAATAACTCTGCTGTTATATTGGCACATGAGTTATGTCCAAAAAACAATTCAATTATTTCAACCTTCTCGGCAGTAGAATAAAGCATTGCTGATATTTAATGTTACTGTAAACAAAAGGCCCTACACTGAATATGATCAAAATAAATCTACTTAAAGAGATTTATTAAAAGACATCACTGCCCATGCAGTAAACAGATAAAAAAATTCCCACATTAGTAAAAACTTGTTTACATTTTTTCTTTTATCTTCGATGTTATTTTGTTTATTAGAGGTCTTTAATAGAATTTTTTTAGAGAAGTTTTATTTTTTCATAATTTTCCACGAAAATTGCAAAGATATTCCTGAAATGAGACAGCGTTGAAAAGAAGCAGTAATTAGCTTACAAATGAGGTGCCTTTCATCCCCTCATCCATTTGAGACTTTAAAAAGGTGGATGTCACCGCCGCGTGGGGTTTCAACTTAGGGGTTGAAAAATATTCGCAGATTAATTTCCAGTCGAACACAAATTTTACGTGTTAGTCGTTTTTTTGCTTTTAAAACGAGAAATGCCTTTAAATTGCCTTGTTTCGTTTTGGGTGGGACGCGTCATTGTCAAATTTTTTGACATAATTGTCAATAAATGTGGTACCGTTGAAAAGAGAATTTGAAGAGCTTTCATTCAAGGGGTCAATCGACCCACTTTCCTTATTTAATTTTTAGGGGTTGAACGCGCCCCCGCTAAAGGATGACAGGTAGGTCATTAAAGATGAATTTGAAAGTTGTCCCCTTTCATGCAAAAATCGACGTGTCCGAGTGTTTTTCATTTAAATAATTCTAAATATGCGAAAACTCCTGTTTCGTTATAGCTGGGACACCTTGATATATCGATTCACATTGTCGTAATATGAACACAGCCATCAGCCATCAAAAAACCAATTCTTTTTTCAGCGAAAAAGTACAGAAAACTAAATCCATATTACTGTCATAATTTCTCATCCTGAACGAGAAATCGAGAAACTTATTGTAATGAAGCGGAAATTAAAAAAAAAAATCAAAAAAAATTGATGAGAAAATAATTGAAAAATCCTTTACAAAAATCTCGAAGAATAAAAGCCAAGGAAAGTTATGACTTTCCGATGCGAACATCCCTGGAGACCAATATGCGACTTCCAGAGCAATTTGAAGTAATTTCCAAACGTAAGATAGAGTATTGTCCGGCAATTTTAATCTGACACTTTCCGTATGAGGAGCGAGGGCCGCGAGGGGGTGAAGTATATGGCAAAAACAGGTGTGATGATCATTGGCGTTCTAACGTAGGGAACCACCAGCTCACATTTTTTTGGAGTATCAGATTAAAGTCGACGGCTTTACCTATTAAGTAATTAGGTGAGTGCCAGCAAATATTGTAATAATTATTGAATGTAAGCAATTTTGTTAGAATATGAACGTAAAGACCTAGAGAATCTATCGATTTAGAAAGAAGACCGAAGTCTAGTCAAACTGTTTCGAAATCTGAGAAAGTGTTTTTGTATACTAGGGAACTCTAGAAACATTTATATACATCGTGATTTACGTAGCCCGTGCATTAGAAGTTTTCCAGATTGCAGGTGAATAAGTAGAGAAAGCATCTAATCCACCTGCAATATAATGCACGGGCTACGTCACGGTATACCGGGTGCCAACGAAATCGTTATACAAGGCGTCATTCAGTTGTATTTAAATTTAAAAATTTTAAAATCGAGTGGAACGGGTAAGTCATTGAGAAGCACACTTTTCATAAAAAAACAATTGAATATCACTTCCGGTTACTTTGGAAATGGACCCAAGTCAAGAAATTTTTATGGAACCCTGTATATACACAGTTGAATAGAGCTTAAAATTCCCTTTTTAATGACATATGATAAGTGGAATTTGTTTTTAAGATGGCGGCGTGAGAAGGCACTTTCCTAAATTCAATATGGCGGCATTCTGACCTAACCTTTGAATACCCAACCGAAAAATGAATATGCATTTTGGTAGACATTTTCGGTAGGCCATTGGACACACTTTAATTCTAGAATTTAATAAGTAGGTACCTCTTTCTATTCAAAATTTTTAGAAAATTTGAAACTAAAATTTGCATTTCAAAGAAATTTTGAAATGCCCTTGTTTTTGAGCAAAATCATTTTTTTTTTTTCAAATTCGATCTAAAACCATTTCAACTCTAAAAATTATGGATTGTTAAAAGTGTTTGTTTGACAGAAACATTATCGGTTACGTCAGAATGCCGCCATTTTGAATTTAAGAAAAATACCTCTTCACGCCGCCATCTTGAAAACAAATGCAAGTTGTGATATGTCATTGGAAAGGGAATTTTAAGCTCTATCCAACCATGCAAAAAAATATACAGGGTTCCATAAAAATTTCTTGACTTGGATCCATGTCCGGAGTAACCGGAAGTGATATTCAATTGTTTTTTTAGGAAAAATGTGCGTCTCAATGACTTACCCCTTTTACCAAATTTTCAAATTTTTAACTTTAAATACAACTGAATGACGCCTTGTATAACGATTTCGTTGTCACCCGGTATAAATGTTTCTATATAGAGTTCTATATTTTTGAACCTTTACTGTAGAAGAAATTTTGGAAAATTTCGCTCACTCAGTAATTAACTGCTTATAAGAAAGATTAGGTATGTAATGGAAGTTTTTTTTTTCAGTTATAAATAAAAAAAAAAACCTATAAATTATTTGACCCAGAAATTCTGTGTTTCACTACTGCAAATATAGGACCCACAATACAACAATAGTATATTATATACCTAGGCAGAGAAGCTGGTCATTATATACCGAAAGCTTTTATAAACCGAGGCGCGCAGCGCCGAGGTTTATAATGCTTGAGGTATAGGTATAATGACTTTTAGACCTACGGCCGGGAAGCAAATAAGTCACCTCATCGGGTACAAAAGGTTCGAGTTTCTTGGATAAAAGTACTTTGTATGTATATCCTAGAACCGGCCGTCTGCCGGGGTCCAGCGGTCAACTTCACAAATGACAGCTCGTCAAAAAGACGAAAATCTGATTTTTGTCACCTCATTGGTACATGCCTGAAAATTTCGGAATGTGTAGGGGAAAGCTCCTAGATACCTAATTCGGCCGGCAGACGACGATATTTAGACGCCTACGTAAAGCAGACGCCCGCCGTGACGCCGAAAATCTGACGTAAGTCACCTCATGAGGTACATATGCAAATTTGGGCTTAAATGAAAGGTATTTTTGTGTAGAGTAAATATAGCTATTTATACAATAAGTTACGAAATGAGCGTCTTTTAGGCACGCGACGTGAAAATTGTCCAACGAGGCAAAGCCGAGTTGGACAACACGTCGAGTGACTAAAAGACATCGTTTCGTAACGTATTGTATACAAGATTTTTTCTACTGGCATTTTATAATAAAAAAACACAATTTTATTTCATGTGAATAAGTCGATTACACCCAAAATCTTTGTTACCTGCTTTTACTTGACACCTGACACTTTTCATGCGATTTTCTTTTCAAAATTCGACATCAATAATTAAAATCCTAGAAAGTAGGTAATAACACAAACTTCTGTTTTGAGTAACCCAAACGTTCAATTCAGTAATTCCATTTTCAATATTCATAATAAATACAAAACAAAATTCAAATATGTGTTTAGTGTGTTTTTTATTTCTGAATAATGAATGACACTTTTAGGCACTAGTGCTTAAAAATTACTTTTACGCACTCATAAGTCACTTTTACGCATTCAAAAGTCACTTTTACGCACTGAGTGCCTAAAAGTAACTTTCACGCACTCAGTGCCTAAAAGAATGTCGTTTCAAAACTGAAATGACAATTGAAAAGTTGCTATTATGAAACGTCAGTAGAAAATAGCTATTTATACAACAAGTTACGAAATGAGTGTCTTTTAGGCACGCGACGTGAAAATTGTCCAACGAGGCGTAGCCGAGTTGGACAACACGTAGAGTGACTAAAAGACATCGTTTCGTTACGTGTTGTATACAAGATTTTTTCTACTGGCGTTTCATACTGAAAAAAAGAAACATAATTTTATTCCTCGTAAATAAGAGCCGATCGCGCCAAAAAAGTTTGGCACCTGCTTTTGATTGACATCTTTCATGAGGTTTTTTTGATTGAAAATTGAAATCCTATTGAAAAAACAACAGAAAGTTCTGTTTTGAGTAACCCAAACGTTTACTTTAGTAGTTCAAATAATTGCATTGACAACATTTATGAAAAAATAGACAAAATTCAAATCTGTGTGTTTTATTTCTGAACAATGAGTGACACTTTTAGGCACTAGTGCTTAAAAGTGTCACTTTTACGCACTAGTGCTTAAAAGTGTCACTTTTACGCACTAGTGCTTAAAAGAATGCCATTTAAAATTAAAATGACAATCGAAAAGTCGCTATTATGAAACGTCAGTAGAAAAAATATTTTTCAAAATTCGGCAGACGGTCAACAACAAATTGCAGACGCTCTAGAAAATTTAGATTTCGGTATTAATACAGCATAAAATAAAAAATCTTTAATAAATAACTGCAAATTTATTAACAAAATAAATTATTCTGACTAAATTATAGGCATAAGCATTAGCTAAAAACTACAAAATAAAAACATATTTATCAAAAAAAAAAACAAAAATAAAACAGTTACAAAACTTTTCATAAGAGTAGACCATCGCAGCTAGGTATAAGATAAATACTAGTAGATACCTATTGTAGATATCTACTCCTTTAATCTTAAAAAACTACATAACAGGAAAGGTCTAAACAGGAGCTTTAGAGAGTCGAAAACAGTCAAAAAATATAAACTTAAATATAAATATATACCTACTTACAATACGTAAAACAAAACAGGTACAAAAGTTGAAAAAATAAATAGGAACTCTTAGCATTCAAAAATAATAAAAATGCCATGTATAAAAAAAGGAAAATTCCAGAAATCTTACCACAAAGAAGTAAAATAATATGACTTAGATTTA